TAACCTATCTAATCTGTTCTGTCGCGTCTACCTGTCTTTCTGTCTATCCTTTCCTATCTCTATCTAACACGCCTCAACAATCTATCTGTCTATCTGTCTATCTATCTTATCTATCGACTATCTCTCTACCCATCCATCTATCCCTCTACTGCCTGCAACCTACCTATCGGTCGATCTTGGAACCTAGGTACCTATCTATATCTCTCTCTCTCTCTGTGTCAATCTCTCTGTTCTACCTAATCTATCTAACCTCTCTATGTATCTTTCTATTTAACTTTCTGTTAAGCTACCGGTCTGTCCCAATGGGTCAACTCAATCTATCTATGTAGTTCCCTTTCTTTAGTTCTTTCGCTTTTTGTTCTTTCTTTCTTTTCTTTTACTCCCTTCCTTCCTTCCTTCCTTCCTTCCTTCCTTCCTTCCTTTCTGTCTTTCTTTCTGTCTTTCTTTCTTTCTTTCTTTCTTTCTTTCTTTCTTTCTTTCTTTCTTTCTTTCTTTCTTTCTTTCTTTCTTTCTTTCTTTCTTTCTTTCCTTCCTTCCTTTCTTTCTTTCTTTCTTTCTTTCTTTCTTTCTCTCTTTCTTTCTTTGTTTCTTTTCTTTTCTTTTCTTTCCTTTCTTTCTGTTCTCTCTGTCTGTCTTCCCTGTCTTGTCTACCTATCTGTCAATCTTGCGAAAGTGATGGGCCTGGCGAAAGCGTCGCGCGCCTGCCATGAAACTCCGCCTGCCGAAAAAATCTCCCCCTCGCCTTGCTCAGATCGCTCCGAACATGATCCGACCAAGCGTCGGGGCCAGGCTAACTTTGCAGCACCCTGAAGCAAACCCGCTTTCAAAGCGGGTCTCAGAGAAGTAGTTGCCGCACCATATCCCTTGATCTGTCGGTCTACCCATCTACATTTATGTACTCGTTCTCTTTCTCTCTGCCTGTCCATCTACCTCTCCGTCTACCCATGTCACTATTCTATCCATCCATTTATCCTCTTCTATCCGCCCACTAATCTATCTCTCCATCTACTTTTCAAATTATCTACCGTTTATCTAGCTGGCTAGGTTCCAATCTACTCTAGCTAATAATTTCTCTATCTTGCCATTTACATAATTATACATCTCTCGCCATCACCATCCGCCTATCTATCTATTTGTCGAATCCACAGCTGACCTCGCAAAAGTGCTGCTCTGCCGCATGACCTTGCGAGATTACTGCGCCTGCCACGAAATCCTGCCACGCAGTGCCCTTGCGAAAGCATTTTCCTGACCTTGCGAAACACTGCTACAACATCCGCGCTTCACCTTGCGAAAGTACAGCGTTTGCCTCGAAATCTGTACTTGACCTTGCGAAAGCGCTGTGCCTGCCACGAAATCTGCACCTCACCTGCTGATTGCGCTGTGCGCCACGAAATGCGTACCTCACCTTGCGAGAGCGCTGCGCCTGCAACGAAACTTGTACCTCACCTTGCAAAAGCGCTGCGCCTACCACGAAATTTGTACCTGACCTTCGAAAGCCCTGCGCCTGCCAAGCAAACTAATGTCGCGAAAAGCGCGCGGGTCCGTGCCAAAATCGCTGTGGTTTGAGATCGTTCCGAACATGGTCCGACCAGAAGGAACCGAAACACGAAGAGGGTTGCACTTTTGTAAAATGTCTATTCCACCGCCACACGCGCATGCACCTTTTCACGCGGGCTGTCATCTTTCTCAGAGAGTTAGCTTTCAAGTAATTGCGGTATCAAACTTCCGTTGATGAAGCCAGGTAAGAGAACCATCTACTAAAACGGCCAATGGGGCTTTTGGGCCCTGCTCATGTGTATCAAGATTTGCTCCTTTTCCGACTGCTGTTGCTGTGCGGTCAGCTGTCCGCTTCCACACCTATCGAAGCTTAAGAGCTGGATCAAGGACGAGCCAAAAGTCTGACGCAACTGAGACAATGGTCTAGTCTACTGAAACTTGATGCAATTCGACGAGACTGGATAATCAAGGCCGTCATTGGTTCCGCAAAATCAGCTTTACTAGCTGGGCAAGAGATTCTGTGGCAGCTGTCAGCGACCAGGGTTGTGATGGCCTGCCGTCGTCTCTCGGTGAAAATCGATGAATCTTAGTGGCTACCGTCCGATTGAACTCTCAGCCGTCCACCTTCTTCATGTGGATGCACAACTCGACCAATCGGTTGGAGTAGCCCCACTCGTTGTCGTACCAGCTGACCAGCTTCACGAAGTTGTCATTCAGCGCAATGCCAGCCGCCACATCGAAGATGGAAGAAGCCTTGCAGGTGACGAAATCCGTGGACACGACCTCCTCGTCAGTCCAGTCCAGGACACCCTTCATGGGCCCGGCAGCCGCTTCCTTGATGGCCGCCACAATGTCGTCGTACTTGGCCGGCTTCTCCAAACGGCAGGTAAGGTCCACCACAGACACGTCCGGCGTGGGCACGCGGAAGGCCATACCGGTCAGCTTGCCGTTCATGGCAGGGATCACCTTGCCGACGGCCTTGGCGGCGCCAGTCGAGGACGGAATAATGTTTTGGGAAGCGCAGCGGCCTCCGCGCCAGTCCTTGCCACCGCGGGAGGGGCCATCCACAGTGAGCTGGGTGGCCGTCATGGCATGCACCGTGGTCATCAGGCCCTCGACAATGCCGAACTTCTCATGCACGACCTTGGTCAGGGGAGCCAGGCAATTGGTGGTGCAGGACGCGTTGGAGACCACGGTGTCGCTGCTCTTGTAGTCGGTGTGGTTCACGCCCATCACGTACATGGGCACAGAATCCTTCGGGGGTGCGGAGATGATCACCTTCTTGGCGCCGCCGCCCAGGTGCAACTCCGCCTTCTCTTTGTTGGTGAAGATGCCCGTGGACTCGCAAACGTACTCGGCACCTGCCGCGCCCCAAGGGATGGACGCCGGGTCCTTCTCGTGGAAGACCGCGATGGACTTGCCGTTCACCACCAGGAACTCCTTGCCGCCCTCCTCCTTGCAGTCCACGGTTCCATCAAAGGTCTTGTGCACGCTATCATACTTGAGCTGATAGACCATGTACTTCACATCCATGAAGGGGTCGTTGATGGCCTTGACATCGGAGTCGGGGTTCCCGGCCGCTGCGCGGAACACCAGGCGGCCAATGCGGCCAAAGCCGTTGATGCCCATGCAGACTGGCATTTTGAATGCAAAAAGGGGATCGAAGCGACACGGAATGCTGGAGCCTTCGGCCTAGATGTCTGCGGACGGTGTGATTTCATTCAAGTACCTGCTGCCGGCATTGTCCTCATTTGTTTGTTTTGATAGCATTTTCCGTTATTCATTTCACGCTGAAGCCTTGGGGGATCCGCAACTAAGATCGACGTGGCTACTGTTTTACACCTGGACATGACATACTACTGCTCACAAATCCCCAAAGTAGTGCCGGCATAGTCTTAAGATTTGCATGCCACAAATGTTCCCCAATTGCCCTGCCTACCATTCTTGTGTTACTCGCATATCTCCGGGAAAACTTGTCAAACGTTCAGAAACTGGTCCCTAAAACAATGCTTCAATCTGCATCATTGGCAGGCTCGTCTTTTTGCAGCAGAACCAAACACCTGCAGTATTGCCTTCAAATGAATGAGTCTCCGTGTAAAGGTCCTGGCATCTTAGCAATCTCGCTTGATGCAACTATTCAAAGTGCTTGTTGGTCTCGCAAAATCAGCTTTACTAGCTGGGCAAAATGCCCGGAGGTCGCATGCTGTCGCAGCTGTCAGCGAACAGAACAATGACATGACGGCCTTGCAGTCGTCTCTCGCGGTGAAAATCGATGAACCTGCGGCCGTCATGGCCGCCGGTTGAACTCTCAGCCGTCCACCTTCTTCATGTGGATGCACAACTCGACCAATCGGTTGGAGTAGCCCCACTCGTTGTCGTACCAGCTGACCAGCTTCACGAAGTTGTCATTCAGCGCAATGCCAGCCGCCACATCGAAGATGGAAGAAGCCTTGCAGGTGACGAAATCCGTGGACACGACCTCCTCGTCAGTCCAGTCCAGGACACCCTTCATGGGCCCGGCAGCCGCTTCCTTGATGGCCGCCACAATGTCGTCGTACTTGGCCGGCTTCTCCAAACGGCAGGTAAGGTCCACCACGGACACGTCCGGCGTGGGCACGCGGAAGGCCATACCGGTCAGCTTGCCGTTCATGGCAGGGATCACCTTGCCGACGGCCTTGGCGGCGCCAGTCGAGGACGGAATAATGTTTTGGGAAGCGCAGCGGCCTCCGCGCCAGTCCTTGCCACCGCGGGAGGGGCCATCCACAGTGAGCTGCGTGGCCGTCATGGCATGCACCGTGGTCATCAGGCCCTCGACAATGCCGAACTTCTCATGCACGACCTTGGTCAGGGGAGCCAGGCAATTGGTGGTGCAGGACGCGTTGGAGACCACGGTGTCGCTGCTCTTGTAGTCGGTGTGGTTCACGCCCATCACGTACATGGGCACAGAGTCCTTCGGGGGTGCGGAGATGATCACCTTCTTGGCGCCGCCGCCCAGGTGCAACTCCGCCTTCTCTTTGTTGGTGAAGATGCCCGTGGACTCGCAAACGTACTCGGCACCTGCCGCGCCCCAAGGGATGGACGCCGGGTCCTTCTCGTGGAAGACCGCGATGGACTTGCCGTTCACCACCAGGAACTCCTTGCCGCCCTCCTCCTTGCAGTCCACGGTTCCATCAAAGGTCTTGTGCACGCTATCATACTTGAGCTGATAGACCATGTACTTCACATCCATGAAGGGGTCGTTGATGGCCTTGACATCGGAGTCGGGGTTCCCGGCCGCTGCGCGGAACACCAGGCGGCCAATGCGGCCAAAGCCGTTGATGCCCATGCAGACTGGCATTTTGAATGCAAAAAGGGGATCGAAGCGACACGGAATGCTGGAGCCTTCGGCCTAGATGTCTGCGGGTGGCATGCACCAGCAGTAGAGTCCCAGATCAGTGGCTAAACTTCTCACAAGCCGTCGCAACCGCAAGGCGTCAAGGCGCGATAGTGCGAGTTCAGAGCTCCTGGGACCAGGCAAGCGCTGCGGACACCAGCGCTGGCAGCGCCACACGGGCCACGCTCTGCTGCCTGGGAGCCCAGCAAACCAGACGATGACATGGGCAGGGTGTGGACTCCAGGGAGTGCCATGACTTGACGTGTGCTTCATATCCTCTTCCGGCTCTTGGAACAATTGAATCTGCTCCCCCAGTCTCCGCTTCAACCGTTTGTGAGAAAGCAGCATTGCGCAAAGGCTCACAGCTGCCACTGCAGGCAAGCAGCGGCATGTGCTTCATCTCTGGCACCTGCAGAAATACATGCATACAATTTTCGACACGGGGATGTGTCGAGCAGCACCAGTCTGCTTGCAACCTCATCCACTTCGCAAGGCCACATGCAGCCATGGTGCAAAGAGAAACGCAGTAGTCCTCAGCCCAGCATGTTCTTCGTAGACATTATCGGTCAATCAATCACACACACACACACACACACACACACACACACACACACACACACACACACACACAAACACATGACATGGCATGACATGGCATGGCGTTGCGTTGCGCTGCACTGCATCGCATTGCATTGTATTGCATTGCAGGGCAGTACATTAAATGCATTAAGTTAGATTGCATTGCATTATGTCATTACAGTACATTACAATACATTACAGCAGCTTGTCATTCATGTGTTCATAGTGTTGCACTTATATTAACATTTACAACACATTACTCATTACATGACCTTGTTGCATGCATACACACACTTGCAAACAAAGACATCGACATACATATATATATATATATATACATAACTTCCTGTACTGAATGGAGTGCACCTCGTTATGCAAGTGTCTCACGACAGGCAGTGTGTTCCAAAGCAACAAAAAAATCCAACAATTAGTACAAGAAGGCACCTAAGCATGATTGATGCAAACACTCAATAGTCTTGATGCCATTAGATGTTCTGGCAAAAAAAACGTAGCGTATCTTTAGGTTCTCTCCAAGGGTCTTGTTCAGCGGGGACACGCACTGACACGTGGTCGTCAAATACTGCTCTGCGGTCGAGCCAGTTCGGAAGAAATCCTGCAAGCCGGCCAGGGGTGCAAATGCAAACGGGAAGCTATTGTTGGCCAACCCGCTCCAGACCGCCAAGGAGCATGACCGTCACCGCGCCTGCGGCTATGCGTATCCCACAGACTTACTCACAGACCCGCGCCTGCTGGCCAATTGACTTTGGGCCCAGGAAGGCGCATCGCGCAGCCGCCGTTGACCACAACACCTCGGGCTCTGGCCACTGGGACACCGCCGTTCGGGGGGTCATGCATAGAAGCTGCGCCAAGCAGCTGGGCGGAATTTGATCCCCCACGGCATCCCACATGATGGGCAACACCACTTGCCCTCCACGGGAGCCGAACATGACGCAATCGGCACCTCAGTTCAGGACTTGTCCAAGTCTTCAAGCAAGGCAAAGCTCAATTGCTTCTCTGGACATTCCAGCAAGGCACACTTGTAAGAGAAAAATAGTAATGCGTGGGAAAGCCATGTTCGGAAATTTGTTTAAACCCCTTCAAGTTGTCGCATAAGCTGATATCTGGCTGAGACTTGTGCGAAGGAAAGCAGCTAAGCGGCTAAGCGCATCCCAGAAGCGCCCTAAGCGCCCGCCTTTGCCAAGGCGCGGCGGTGGAGGCCGATGCTCACCACGTCCTCCCCGAAGCTGCGGAGGTTGGGGGCCGCGGTGCCGCTGTCCCAGCACTCGGGGTACCGGTCGTAGGGCATGCCCTTGCGCCCAACCACCTCCACCTGAGCTCGAGTCACTGCCCAAGGCCATAGGACAATTCTGGTGTTTTGCATCGCGTCACGTGATAGCAGTAGAGCTCTTCTGGATTGATGAAACCAGGGAAGATGGGCGACTGTAGGAGCTTCCAACACGCTAATCACTTGTTGCAGGCTTTCGCATCATCTCAATGTCTGTCATTCTTGTCTTGGAAACCACAGTTCTTCTCTCCCCCGTGGTATTTAAGCTAGAGCCTGTCAGTTCACTTGAGACAGCTCTGCCACGCGTGTTAAGCCTTGGGCCATTGACTTCCTGTTGTAAGTGAATTAATCAAAACTATAACTATGCATTTTGTTTAGAGGCTTTCCCCTTGTCTTAACAAATGCATAACACACTGAAACGCGAACACAAATACAACTCATCTACAGCGACAATGCTGTTCAAAATCTTAAATTCGCCTGGCCCGCGGGAAATTCAGAAAGGCCCCAGGAAGGCGGATCACGGGCCTGCAGGTCTGGGTCTGCGTCAAGCTCCAGGAAGATGTCCCCGATGGATCCCACGCCGGCGCCCGGAGCCACCACCGCCACGACCAGCGCCTGCGACGAAGCACGTGAAAAATGGGCGGCGCAGTGATGAAGCCAGGGATCACATTTGAGAGTAAAACGACGTCATGTGGAAGCTAATCCAGCTCACATGTCATCTCCAAAGTCCGCAACGGAACTTTACCGAAAGATTGGGGCAAAACTCGCCACACAGTCCCCTTTGCTCTGCCAAAGGAAGCCCCGGCCTGGTGCAACAGCTTGTCCTGCTTCACGGTGATCGTGCCCTCCGAGGTTTGCACAAGAGCCTCGGAGACCTCAGCTGCAAGCAATACCCCTGAATGGGTTGCGAGCTGCAAATGACTAAATGAAATAAAGCGAACCTAAGTGAGCCGACCAGGTAGCAAGCCAAAATAATTCCAACAACCTCCTTTATTGTTCCAGACGGCCAGGGTCTGTTTAAACCTTTTTGTTCAACAGCGATTGATCGCCTGGGCCAAAGGCAGACTCACGTATCTCCACTATGCGGCCGTGCTCTGACCTTCGCATGCCGCTGGCGTGTCTGTGGACCTCTCCTTGAGTTCAGGATCTGAGGCCTCGCACCGCTGCCCTTGCATAAAGTGAACCTTGTCCCCGCACTGCAGCTCTCTCCGCTGCGGGTACCTCACCGGCATGGGGCACAGTCTCATCCGGGCAAGCAAAATCGAGCACAGCCTCACCCAAGGTTGCATCAGGATCTCCATGGCCTGGACATCCATAGCGTTGCCATCTTGAGAAGCCGAGCCTCCGAACAGGCCTCTGCCAAGGGGAGAGGCGCGGCTGCTCAGGCGTTTGCGAGTGGAAAGAGGCGAGGATTGCAATAAAACATAACAAGGAGGTGAACAAGTAAGCTAAGCTACTCTTGAATTCCAATTCTTCGCGCGCCCTCCCAGGTCAGCAAATGCTGCGGGCAATGCTTACCATTTCATGATGGGTATGACTCGGTGGAGCTCGATCTTTCCGTACAATTGCTGGACAACGACCTGCTTGCCCCAGCACAATCCTATCATCGGCACTACCGCGATTTCTCCACCGCAGGCAGCCAGTCAGCAGCCATTTTGGGAAGAGGAAGAGAGTAGAAAGCTAACCTGCACCGGCAGACTGAATGAGGAATAATCCTTACCGCAATGCACAAAATACTTCCATGGAGTGTACTGAATGTAAGCCTCATCGACCTCCTTTGCTTTTCAGCAGCTCGACCGCTTTCGACCTTGCATCTCATCTATCTGCATGTCAGTCAGCGCGCGTTCAAAGAACGCTAGGAAAGAGCAACGAGAGTTCCCGTTTTTTAGGCGTGGGAACTTTTGGGTCCCTGCCCACCACCACCACCCCCCCTCGTCTCAATTACTTTGCTTCAGGGCACCACCACCACCCCCTTGCCAGGACCCTTTCCCTTTCCCAAGCACCACCACCACCCCCCCCCCAACCCCCCCCCCCCCCTGTATTGCTTTTGCTTCGCAACTGACCCTGCGCCACACGCATGCTATTTGGCTCAAGGCCCTATCTTGTAGTACCGTTGCATCCTGCAGCCATTACAAAAGGACCTAGCAGAGCGCCTTGCAGGTATCCATTGCACATTTACACAGCCAGGGACTTCCACGCTCAGTTCCTCCACTATTGGCATATTGGACTCTCTTGCAGAATGGATCCGGGGGCCTACCAATACATTCTCTACTACCACAAGGTACCAGCTCCCCTTCAGGGATACGGTACCCCTGGCAGTGGGTCTCAATTGTGGTAGCGGAGCGGGTTTTTTGCAGAGATCCAAAAACAATGTCATCCGATGGAGAAGGCGTCGTGGAAGCCTATTCAAGTGTTGGCCGTTCAACCGGCTAATGGAACACAAGACATGCCGTTGGCGGAGCGAATGGGTTCACCATGTCGACCTCTTGCACAATTAGATCCATTGCTCGTCACCATCTTTACGAGACTGACATCCAACCAGAATTCCGTCAATTTGAGATTGCCAAGCTCGACCAAGATACGATGGATTCCATGATCGAAGATGTTGAAAAGGTCATCTCCGACTACAAGGTCACTTCCGCAGAGCGACACAAGCACATCAACAATGAGATGCTAATGCTTGGACCATGCGACTCCGACTCTCATACCCCATTGCTGGTCTACATTCACAGCCTTGCAGCTGATCAAGAAAGAAATTACCACCGCAAGAAGGAGCACAATCAGAACAAGAAGAAGGAGAATGAGACAGCATGGAAGCCATGGAACCAATCCTATCAGCAAGGATGGAAGAGCTCCGGCTATCAAAAATGGGAGAATTATGGCGGAGGATATGCAAGCCAATCCGATAGCAGCTACCGTTGGTACTCGCAGACTGCGATGAGATACTATGACAACAATCCACGCTCAGAACCATCACACGGAAAACGACACCACGAATTCCAATCGATTGATCCTCCTGCACATCAAGACTATGCTCGTGAGTGATCAATAGTTTCACACCATCTCGCGTGTACAAAGTGTTTCTCACATTTCCGTTTTAGATACAACTAGGTATCTCGTCCAATCAGTACAAAGCATGTTCCATTCTGCCAACAAGACAGTTCATCCGCGACAGAAATAGGATGATTTGATTTTCGATATGGCTACGGCAACATACCATAAGTATGGCTACGGCTAAAGGCCATGAAGCCAAGAATATCATTTTGGTGTTAAGGGTCAAAAGAAATTGTGTCTGTTTTTGTGTTGTTTTTGCTTCGCAACTGACCCTCTAACATCCACTACCATTTTGGGCCAAGGCCCCTCTTGTATAATAGGTAACGCAGTACTCATTCTGCAGCCATTACAAAAGGAGAGCAGCGCCTTACAGGAATAATCCACAGAATACAGGACCAGGGACATCCATTCTCAGTTCCTGCACTATTGGCATATTGGACTCTCGGATCCGGGGACCTACCAATAATTCTCTACTAGCACAAGGTACCAGCTCCCTTCGGGGATACAGTACCCCGTCCCCTCCCCCCCAGACCCCACCACCCCCCCCACAAACAACCCGAGTAGGTCCCCGCCCCCCCCCCCTTTCCTGATGAGCCAACCCTAAACCACCCTAAACCAAAACTAAACCAGCCCGAAACCAGCCCTAAACTATCCCTGAACCAACCCTAAATCCAGCCCTAAACCAGCCCTAAACCAAGCCTAAACCAAGCCTAAACCAACCTGAAACCAGCCCTAAAACCTAAACCAACCCTAAACCAAAACTACACCAGCCCGAAACCCCTAAACTAACCCTAAATCCAGCCCTAAACCAGCCCTAAACCAAGCCTAAACCAAGCCTAAACCAACCTGAAACCAGCCCTAAAACCTAAACCAGCCCTAAACCAACCTTGAACCAGACCGAAACCAGCCCTAAACCCGCCCTAAACCAGTCCTAAACCAACCCTAAACCAGCCCTAAACCAACCCTAAACCAGCCCTAAACCACCCTAAACCAGCCCTAAACCACCCTAAACCAGCCCTAAACCAGCCCTAAACTATCCCTAAACCAACCCGAAGCCACCCTAACTCAACCCTAAATCAACCCTAAACCAGCCCTAAACCAGCCCTAAACCAGCCCTCAACCACCCTAAACCAGCCCTAAACCAGCCCTAAACTATCCCTAAACCAACCCTAAGCCAACCCTAACTCAACCCTAAATCAACCCTAAACCAGCCCTAAACCAACCCTGAACCAGCCCTAAACCAGCCCTAAACCGCCCTAAACCAGCCCTAAACCTACACCAGCCTAAATCAGCCCTAAACCAACCCTGAACCTAAACCAGCCCTAAACCACCCCTCAGACACGTGGGGGGGGGGGTGGTGGTGGACCCCTCCCTCGAGCAGCCGGGGGGGGGGGTGGTGGAACCGTGTGGCACAGCCGGGGGGGGGGGGTGGTGGTGCAGGGCAAGGCCCCAAAAGTTTCCACGCCACATCCGCGGGCACTATCGAAAGAGCAGCCATGGGGCGGCCCAAAGTGCTCCCTCACAGAAGAAAAAAAACAATAAAGGCGCTGAGCTTCCAGCTGCGCATTCCTTGTTGCAACCGCCAAAGGCGTCTGCCCGCCTTGCAAATCAGTCTCAAGCAGAGCCAACTCTTCCGTACTCCACCAATCTATAAGTCGATCCAATAAGTCGATCCAATTCATCTCGAAGTCGCCCAAAGCACGGGGGGGTCGGCAAAGCTCGGCAAGGAAGAAGCTCTCAAAACCCACTGTGACTTGGTTCAACACAAATAATCACCGCAGTTTGCATCAGACCTTGTTTCAACCTCCTTGGGCTCGGCCACTAGAACCCTTTGCTTATGGCTCAAAGGAGGCTTCTTGGCTCCCGACTGTCGTTAGCCTTGTTCACATCTGCGCCTTGAGCCAAGAGATATTCCAGCATCTCCTGGGTGAGGCTCTAGCACCCAGTGCAGGAGTACAAAATCAAAAGCCACTGCTACATGCGCTCTTAGGCCTTGGCCCAACCAAAGGGGCAATGCGGCATTGGGAACACATGACATGGAGTTGCTCTCCTGACGACCGTAGCCTGCAGCGTAGTGGAGGCTGCTGTTGCCGGCCTTATCCACGCAGTTCATGTCCTTAGCATGCTTGTGCACTCTTGGCGTGCCAACGACTGGACTGGACTAACTCACGGCGACTTGTGTCCCTTGTCACTTCAGCTCGACGCAGATCGATTTCAGGAGCCTGCAAAGAAAAAGCTTGGGCCACGACAGCCTTCACCTCAACAAGGAGCATGGTGATGGGCATCCTGTTAGCACCCACCGCGTAGCCTCGGTTAAAAGCCAGGTTGGTCCACCTGCCGATTTCTCAGGTTGCCTCCTCCCGACTCCACGGAATTGCCAACCAACAAAGTTGACCTGATTTCCCCTCTCCCACCGCCTCAACTGCACCTCTCTCCTGAGGCCAAGATGCCGAGGCAGGAGATGCCGCGCTGGTCCTTGGCCTCTAATTTCCGGCCACCACGCTCTGTCCTTGACGACAGGCAGGTCTCAACGCAGCAAACCAGGGGGCACCAACCTGGAGACTCCTCCCTTGCCCTGTCCAGGGTTCCTTCGGATTGGTCTGAGACCCCTACAAAACTTTCAACCTTGCTAGTTTAACAACTGTCAAAGGTTGAACTAAAGACCAATCAAGTAGTATCACGTGCTGCCTGTTCCCTTCAAAGCATCGCCCCACTCAAGGACACGCGCACAGTAACTTGATCGCGCCATCTCCGAGCGCTAGGCTCGGTGAGGTACCGCTGCACAGCTCGGAGGTCCCCGAACTTGCAGGCCTCCTGTAGCGTCAGCCTCGGTGCCGTCCGGAAAACAAAGATCAGATGAGTGGGGGAAACTGGAGATAGAAACCCAAGCAAAAGTTGGAAAGACCCCTACTTTAGGGGGAACATTTACGGAGTTTGCCGTGTCACTCCCAAACTGACTGCACTCGGATATTTTGGCTGAGCCTCACATGTCAGAGATCAGACTCGAAAAAGTCTGCACCGGAACATACCCGTCCACGCAAGCATGGCAGGCTTTTCTGATTCCAAGGCAGAAGCGCTGCACTCTGCCGAAAGCTCAGAGTTTGTTCCACCAAGCTGCTCCCCCTTTCAAACAGCACAACAATCCTCCGAAAACTATTCCAGTGACCGGTGGGAGCCTTCTGGAACCGGAGCTCCAAGTTCTCCTGTGGCTCCAGCGGGGTCTTGCGGACGCGATCCGCGTTCCGCTGGGCCTGCTGCGGAACCTCGGCCGAGTTGTGCTCTTGTCTACTCCCCTGCAGATGAATATCAATCATATCAAATCCACGAAAACCATCCATCTTTTGAATCTTTTCTTGGGTGTTCCAGGGAGGAAGGACCACCAATTGGCCGATGCGAGGTGCAACGATGCCGATGCTGGAACCGCGTGCCCGGCGCCGCCCATTTTGCTGCTGACTTTCTGCATCAGCTCCTTGTCATCCAGACATTCGCGGATCTGCAGGGAGCGGGCTGTGAGCATTCCTCTGTCTAATCCGAAACTGCTGCTTGAACAAATCCATCATGGAGCTGTACGTTAAACCGCTGGACTCCTGAAACTGGTTCCAAGACTTTCAGAAAGAATAATCATCTGTAACGTGCGTACACATTGGTAAAGGATGCAAACGCATGTGTTGCATGGCACCAGGAGGCGAAAGGGGAGCAGAATTAGCTTGCGATTCCCAAAAGGCTCAGTCAGCTGCCTGCTGGACCTGGTAGTCCTTGATGGCTTTGAACCTTGGGCCGAGAAAATCTCTGCCAGTGGAGCCTGACAAGACAGCACTGAGCCGCCGCTGACGCGATTCTAAAATGAGGTCCCCTGCAACTCCTCGAAGTCGGGCTCCTGCTCAAGCTCCTAGGCCCAAGGGCATAGAACACTGCAACTTTGAGAACTGGACGAGTGGCACAGATTCTGGCGTGGTGCATCGCAGCTAAGAAGCTCCCCTCATTTACCAAGCTTGATCTCATACCGTCCGTTCACTGAGCGCTCCGCCTTCATCCGCTGCGCAAAGTCCTGCCAAGCCAGTTTGCTTTGGCTGGGCTGTTCGTTGGGATGTTGGTGCGTTGATGCAATGGCTCAAGGCCTCCGTTGCAGGCAGTTCCAAGGAAGACGCGAAGGCTTGGTGTCACAAGATCGCGGCCCGTCCTGATTGCTACTATCGATCTGCTCCTGCCAAACGTCAGCCATTGCTCCTGAGGCATGCGAGCGGACAATAATCAACCAGGGTTCGCCTCTGAATGCCAGTCAAGAGTCGACAGAACACATTCAATTATTCAAACTCATGGACTGGCGCTGTCGGAAGAACATACTAGCAGCGGAGGGGATGGCATGCCAGTAAATGACTTCCAGGGAGGTCCTAACAGCCCCTTCAGCTTGCCAGGGGCCCGGGCGCATGAGCTTCTGTTTCCGGATCTTGTCCGGATTCGTGGAATGCTCCACGAGCCTTGCCAATGCACTGCCGGTCTGTTGGCAAATGGTCCAACATGGCGGGACTGGCAAAATGTGTGCCGCGACAGAGACGCAACGGCCCAGGTGTCAAATGAAAATGAAACTTTGCTGTGCGGGGAAAACCACCAGCTCTCATGTTCAGAAGCCCGAATGCGCTCCACTTTTCCACCGAGGCCGCGGGCTTCTTAGTCTCCGCCACGTTGCTTTGCAGGTACCTGAGATTCTCCATCCCATGCTCCACAACTCAACCCCCAGCGCTCGACTCCGGGTGTCTCTGTTTGGGCACCAACTTTTTGTGGCTGACGCGAAGCTTCTCGTCTGGCGCACGTCTTCGTTTCCTGCCACTGCGCCTCCGTCATCTGCGGGCTTCGGAGCATCTCCACGGAGGTGCCGTCAGCCAGGAGGATCTGAGAACCATTTGTGTGTCCCCTGAAGAAAGGGAACACCAAAACATAGGGAACACCAAAAGTAGGTTAATCAAAGATGACCTAGAATAGGGAACACCTAAATGTAGCTAGTTTCATGTGGTGTCCCTTTGAAACTCCAAAAGGGTAGCCTCAAAATAGACACACCCTATCTATGGGCCATTTGAGTCGCAATCAAAACCTGGTACTAAAATGGTCTACCCAGAACCATGTACAGGATTAAGAAGGCGGGCGCAGCTATTTATGGTTAGGATCATCCCTTACTAACCTTCATCTACCCGGGTTTTGATTGTGACTCATTTGCGGGCTTTGGGTGTTTTTTTCCTGGCCATGCTTTCATAGGGGACCCTTTGCTGGACATCATTTGGGTGGGCATTATTGTCTAGGTGGTTCTCTATCTAAATTCAAGCCACCTCTAGTGCAGTAATGGTCTTTTTAAGAGGAACCCTTTTGGTGATTGTATGAAATGCCCAAGGGCTCTATGACCAGCCTTAGTACTCCCTCGTCACCATGGCTCATGTGCCACCCTCTGCCGCCAACAGATTGAGATGAATCACACCAAAGTGATAGAAAAGGAGCAAAGTGTCAAGGATGTCACGCCTTCTCTGCCACCATGTCATCCTCCGCTTGCTCTGCCCTGGGCACGCTAGGCACAAAACACGGGCGCTTGCCAAATGCACCGAGGTGGGGAGCAAAGCCAGCACTGAGCATTTCTCAGGTCCAAAAATATCCTCAAACCACCCGGGGTCCCCTGCACGGCCGCCATGACCAGCAAACCCGGCAGGGCCCGAGCCCAACACTGCGGGCTCGAACAAACCCCAACTCCGTACACGACGAAGCTGGACCCGAAATCGGGCCATGCAGTTTGAACCCCGGCAAGCTAATGCTCCACTGAAAGGCAGAGCCAACCTGTTTTGGAACGTTGCCTTCTCTCGCGTAACATGAGCACTGGCCGCGATTGGGCAGGCAGCGTTCAGAACATTGAAGCAACATGATCCCATGGCCGACTGTGTTGCTCGGGTCTCCGGCTGCCTGAAAGCTACAAACTCCTAGAGCACTAAGTGAAAGCGAAGTCACTCTCACCGCGGTCGACTGACCTGAACCAGTGGACCGTCCCTCCTGCGCATCTGCATGTCCACACTGGTGCCTCCTGGAGCACATTCCGTAGCGAGCCCAGGCCGTCCCGGCGAAAGGCGGGCCCTGCGCGGCGGAAGCGCTTCCATTCGGCACATGCACAACTGTGACTCGGTTTTGGAGCTTAATGATAAAACAAACGTGGAGTGGAAAGCTGAGCCTTGAGATATAGAACCTGCCAAGCTTGCCAAAACCAGAAGCAAAAGAAGCAAGGAAACTCCTCGCCGATCACAGCTTGGTTTTCTTTCTTTTGAGCTCAAGAAAATTGGTCCGCCTGCGGATCCAGGGGGTGGTGGCGGAGATGGCAGAGGCTCCTAGCTGCGCATCAATTATGTTGGATCCGACTCCGAGCTTTGATTCGCAGTCCTCGAAGTCGTTCGCCGCTTCAGTGCCTCGGACTCTCACAAGAACTCCAGAACGAGCAAGTGAAGCAAAACAGTCGCGGCCTCCAAGCTCATCTGCCTGGCACACAAAGGACCAAAGGGACTCGCAGCTCGCGCTGCGATCCACCTCTGTGTCGGGCTGCGCTGACTGGCTGACCTGCGTCGAGGCCGTGCCTTTGGTGTGTCCAGGTCTTGCTGTGCGGCGGGACCTCGCCTTCAGGATTTTGATGCTCGTCTGGATCTGCTCTAAGAGCTCTCCTCCCAAGCTAGCCATGTGTGTGTGTACCGCATTGAAGTCAAAGAATGTATGTGTATTGTTCTGCATACATATTGAATAGTGTATACAGCAACATTTTGGCCAACGGAACTTGCAAGATATCGTCACTGGGTGTTGCCGATGATGCCCTTTGAGTGCACAGCTGTTGAGTCTGCTCTGGGCCACTCTGCAAACGTTCCGTTTCCTCATGTATCAGTGCGAAGTGTCCGCTGAGAAGCACTGCACGGTCTCCTGCATTATCCACTTGAGGTCCAAACTTTTTCTTTTTGATCTTCGCCTTTTCTTCCTGGCATGGCTTGATGCCCTGGGATCGCGAAACTGATGCCAACTGCATACAGCCAATAGAACCCACGGAGCACCTCATCCGGGAGGTTCAGGTCGACCTTGCAATTGTGAGATCCGATTGATCTAGCGGTGTGGTGCTCAATTTGCTTGTGAGGAACACACCCGGATTCCGGATCTACCCCCAGCCTCCTCCTCATCAGGCATGTCTTCCTGGCGGCACACCGCAGGCAAGCAGCCACTTCCATCTGGTGCTCACAACTGAGTGCCCCGCTGGCCGGGCTGCCTCTCCAATGAAGATCTGCAAGTTGTTAGCAGCCTGCACTTAGCCCATCAGCCCATTGGCACCTATTGAAGCTTGCGCGCCCAAGGGAGTTACAACCATGCCAGCCGACTGGCAAAGCTTCCTCAATGGTCCACTTGGTTGCACTGCTTGGGTGGCTGTGTGGACAGTCGAGACGAAGGATTGGTGAGCGTTCATTCTGATGAGGTTGTGAGTGATATCGGCGAATGATGTAGCCAGCCAGCCAGCCAAACAACACAATTCGCGAGTTGGGGCTGACTTGACAGTGAAGCTGACTGCTTGGTCGGTCTAGTCACGGCAAAAGTAGCTGGCTCAAAGTTGGCCAGCAGGATGGCCAGCCGTTCAGCCAATCTCGTTTCACCAGAAGAATCAACCCATCAACCGGCTCTGGAATTTGGCAAGTGTGCCCAGGTCATCTCGGAATATCTCAACGAGCAGCGTCACTTGTTCCCCTGTACCCCAGCAAAAGCATTGCTCTCACTGTCGCTGCCCATGGGGCGCTTCCAAAACTAGCCACCCGCTCTCCCCGCAGCCTCCTGCAGGACATCAAGGGCCTTGCTGATCATCTTGCCTGCCAGGCGGAGCAAGGCGGCTGCACTTTGCATGCCACTTGTTCCGGGCTCAAGTCCAAGAAATGAGACTGGATGCCCATCACTGGTCAGACACGCAAAAAAAACATCCCCCAAAACGCAACCCTGAAGTACAGAGGGCCTTGGAGGGTGGTCAAGCAAAAGCACTGGTAAACCTTTTTGAGGCTTCCCTGTTTGCAAAAAGAAACCGCCCGTTGTCCGCTCCCTCATTTAGAGACAAACCTAATGTCTGAATGACTAAACTTGGCTTGCAAGCACTGGGCCCAAGAACCTCTGAAAGGTTCTCGTCACCATAACCGTTACACTGCAGCGTAACGACATAGTTATCAGTGTTATCAGCTGGCTATCAGTTTCGGAATGGTTGATGAGGTCAAGAACAGAATTTACTCTTCGCGATCAAGGGAGCCAAGTGACCAGGCTTAGCCCCTTTGACTAGGCGCTGCAGAACGACATGCGCCATGTTCTTACATGCATTGCTGTGTATACTTCGAAGAGGCGAGTATGGTTTGTGTGCCTGCCACTTGACTTGTGTGCGTTCCTCTCCATCGAAGCCCAGCCTTTTCCGTCGTCCGCAAGCAGCAGCACTGTGGAAATGCGCCTGGCACATGCACTCCGAAGCGGACAGTGACCGAATCATAACATTGGACATTACAATCTTGTGTAAAGGGCATGGAACAAAGATTGCATGGCAGCTTAAATGAACATGTGGAGCTTGTAGCCAGCTGCACTAGTGCTGCGAAGCCAAATGAACCACCCTCGCATGCTCTCGTCTCTTCGCCAAGCGGCTGCAAGAGCATAGCAAAGACGTCACGCTCTCGACGATCCCAGCCTGTCCACAGATTCGCACTTCGTCAATGCTCACTCTCCATCAAGTGCCAACTACCCCGCTGCAGCGTATGGAAGTCATACTTGCCACAAGGCATCGGTTGTTGAATGGCCAAAATCTCGCCTCTTTGCCGAAGACCACGCATGGCTTGTTCTAAATCTGGCACATACTCCAACATGCCAGGCCTCAAGGCAGGTAGCGTCAAGAGCTCTTCGCTATGTTCAGGCAACATGTTCAAGCAACAATTATGCTAAATGAGTGCTGAAGGATTCTCTTGTTTTGCATAGAATGCAGAGATGGAGCCTCTGCATTCACTATGCTACGGGTTTCAGATCGGATCAGAAATCAAGAACAAAAACCTCACAGTTACTTGCATGTCACCAAGCAATTTTGAGGTTTCCACGGCACTGCTCCAGAGTCCCCGTGGTACCCCCCAACTTTGTTGGTCCGGCTAGGTCTTATGCCGTCCGAGTACTGGCGCTCTACTCCATACCATCGCCTTGTTGCTTGCATGTCAAAATGGTGCCCCCCTTCTTTGGATATGCTTGAAGCCTGGAGTGTCACTTCGACTCTTCGACTCCTCGACGCCGCGACTCCGCGACTCTCAAAAACAGATCCATTGGGACCCCGACATGTCCCCAAGCTCCTGGTGGCAGTTCACCACGCGGTCCAGCAGCTCGATCTGTCCCAAACTCTCAGGCTATGCCATACCCTGTGATGTAAGATATCGAGCACTTGAAACAGCTTCAGAGCATGGGTCTTCGGCACAAACCCATGAGATTCGGTTGGTTTTGAGCTGAGAATCCCTGCAAGGCTGCCATTGGTGGTGGAGTCTTTGGTGCACTCCACCCTCAGTGCCAGTGCCAAGTACTCCCGCGCCTGCGAGCTTCAGAATGACTGGTCGACCGATCAACTGGGCCCACTTTGTGGGGATCTTCAGCCAAGCTGGCATGCTCTGGATGAGACTGCGCATGGCCAGCCTCTGGCCACCTTTCGAGGCGAACCATGCAGTGGGCCATGGTGCCTGCCTGCACAAGTGACGCTTTTTGAACTGACCTTCACCTTGAAACGAAGGTGGGCTAGCCTGCCAGCCCGCCAGTGGTTTCATGGGCCCCAAAGAGGAGACGTGCAGCTCGTACCTTGTCTTGTGGCCGATATCGATGCTTGCACGGAAAAGCTGAGCCCCCAGTCACAGCTCAGGTGCCGGCGACTCCCCCAAGGGCTGCTGCGCCTTCTCATACCTCAAGATTGCTCCGTCGCTTCGGCCGTTCTCTTCATGTCCATATTGATTCTCCAAAGGGCTCTCTCAACGTGTCTCTGGGGCTGAGGCCACTCGCGAGCGTCCTGCGGGGCTCGCACTGTGCTGGCGCGTCTCAAAGATGCCAGTCGATGCGTGAATCCCGGCACTTTCAGCATCCCTGTTCACATCCCCAGTAAGATCTGAATTAGACAAGATTCAGGAGATGATGGCAGAATCACGTCTCCAACTAGGGATGCACAATGAGACGCTGCACAAGTGTTGGAGTAGAGTGTCTTTGGGTAAGGACTTCAGACGCATGAATGCGCCATTCATCCGGCACCATTTCCCTGGATTCCCTTGCTGATGTTTCTCTACATACAGGACCCCTCCTCCAGGTGGCAGAGGTTCCCCAGTTTTCATACAGAACCACAAAGAGCCAGAAAAACCAACTGCGGCATGTCGAGTGCTGAGACGACTATATCCCATGCCAACGCAATTGTTTTTCAGTTAAAACAAGGGTGTGCCACCGGCAGAATGAATCACAACGCATGGCCACCTCCTTCTTCTCTTCCAAGAAGAAGCTGTCGCCTGCAATGACTCCAGTTCACATGGTGAGCCCTTGTGAAGTCGATCAGTGTCAACCCACGTTGACCGCCCTTGCCCCCTCCCAGCCTATTCCCATGGCAACCTCGCCCACGTTGGAGAGAATCTTGGCAAGCATGATCCTGGCCAGGAAAAGCCAGAACATACTGCCCAAGCAGCACGCTCAATGCGATTGCTCGGTTCAAAGACTGCGAGGCTGACCTGATCACTGCTGTTGGCAAGCAACTATACTTCTGATTCCATGCTGGGCTTGGAAAGAGCGATACATTCAATGCTGAGTGGTCGCATGCAGGACCAGCACCCCGCTCCTGTCACTGGCCTCTGCGGTGCGGTGGATCTCCCCCGCCTTGACGCAGAGCTCGAAGCCTGCGAATCCCCGGAACTGCAACGAGCAGATGATGGCGAAACGCAAAAAGCGACGAGCAACAAAAGCAAAAAGCGAGGCAGGCAGAACCGTCTCCAAGTTCGAAAGAGCGCTTGGGCTCCCCTGCCGATCTTCATCTCATCCCGTTGCTGGGTCTTCTGGCCTTGTGAGGCTCTCCGTATTGGATGGTTTCTAAGCGGAAACAGAAAATAATCCGCCGCCTGGGCGGTTCCCATCTTAGGTCATAAATACAAACTGTGTCTCAGTTGTCTCTGCCTAAAACGAGAAAGCTTCAAGCACATGACGTCCGTTTCCGTCTCAACCAAAAAGATGCAGGCAATGAGAATGCCCAGGCAGCTTCCAACGCTTTGCGGTAGGCAACACAAGCTGAGGTCCCAAGCCCAGTCGCGCGTGCGCCTTGCCCAGGTCCCAAATGTCGAACCAGGTGGGTTGCACCCCATTGGTCTTCTTGACCTGGGAAGCAAGCAGGAGCCAATGAGGCGAACAGCTTGGACGCACTCTTTGGACCTTCTCGAAATGTTTACCTGTCGAAACTCAAGATGCACTGCCCTCTGCAGCGCGGCCTCAACGCTCTTCCGGGTGTACTCCAAGCATTTATCTGCCTCATCCAGCGAAGAGTAGCACCTTGGCTGGAGCCGCCCGCATGCGTGCGACTCACATTCTTCAATTTCAAATGGCCAACGCCATGCTGCACACATGTGGCACCCCACATGCAGAACACTCTGCAAACGTGTTGCCTTCCCCCAAGCTGCATGCGACGAGCCAGGCTCCGGACCAAGCAAAGTTTCTGTACATGATGTCGTGGAACTGATCAAGTTGGTCAAGCGTCACAAGTCATGCCGGCCTTTGCTTGCAGCATTGCATCTACTCGAAAATCTACTCGAAACTCCCGAAAACATCTCATCGCAGACTGCCATCTCGCCCCCGAAGCGGCGCCTCCCAGCCCTCTTCCGGCTGGAACGGGACATTCGCCTCAATTTCCTTCAGGGCCACCAGGGCATCGTAGGCCCGGAACCTGTCTCTCAAAGCTTGCAACCTTCAAAACTCTCAAAGTTTCCCAAGGAGAAAAGGTAAAGGAGCCCAGCTTCTGAACCCTAGAAAACAAAACAATGCGCCTCCCTCTGTCTCTCTTTCTTTTTGATGCTTAAGGTCAATACCACCTAACATCTCTTAGGCCGCTGCTGCTTCATGCGCACGGCGCAGAGCTTGTCTAGGGCCTACGCACGCTTCCAGCATGGTGCGCAGCCGGTGAATCTTTACAGTCTCACAGTCAGTCCACCAAGCAGCGCAGCCCTGTATTCAACATGATTCTGAAAAGTGCAATTTTCGAACTTGTGCCTTGATCAACCAGGTGCCACCACGCTTGCGAGCCCTGAGTGAATGATCCCAGGTTGCAATGGCACTCTCAGCATGCCGCGTGTCCCTTTCTCATGAGTGTCATCCGCTTGCGACCATCGATGAATTCTCGTACTTACAACTCACCAGATTCTCGGGATCCGGCAAAGGTACCACGCGTTCCAGAACATAATCGCACCTAGTCAAGCGCGCGCGCGCACGATTGCGCGCGCACGCACACACACACACACACACACACACACACACACACACACACACACACACACACACACACACACACACACACACACACACACACACACACAACACACACACACACACATGCGCAATCGACCGCGCCAGAGCATCTGCTAGAAAACATATACAACTTATAAGTTGCGCGCATGTGCATGCACCATGGTCTGTGCTCGCAAAAATGGTGAAGACTCCACATGCATCCCAGACTGTCATAGAATAGGTCTAACCAAAACCAGAGTGTCCTTGCAAATGAGATGGCAACCTGGCTCGTGCAGCCCGGACACTTGTCTATCTCGTAGTTCTTGAGGTAAACCCCAATCAGGTCCAAGGCCACCCCTGGCAGACGCATGACTTCCCAACGCAGGTGCAATGTGCTCGTCACTTATGAAAGCGAATGCTTTGTCAGTGCAACATCCCCCCAGACTGCAATAATATGGGTCAAATGAAGGCGTGTCCCCAAATCTGCGCGTAGCAATCCGATCGGCGCCTAAGTTCCTGGGCTCGTTCAGCGTGGCCGTGAGCTCCGAGGGCGGCAGCCGCTGCTGCAGGTCCTCAGCGCATCGCCGACGAGGGCAGAGGAGCAGAGAGGGGCAGAGAGGCAGAGAGGCAGAGAGGTGAGCCAGGAATCCGGCACGGGCGTCTTGACAGTCCTCGGAGGCGCTGGCAAACTTGACGGTGAATGCCATACGCGCAAGCCGAAAAAAGTCTGCCGGCCTTCAGCACCATGTCAAAAATGCCGTCATTCTTCTCGCTCGCCTGAAATGTTGTTGCTTGAACATTGCACTCAAAATCCGTACCTCAGCAGAAGTCAACGCTGCTCGCTGCCACTCGCAGCTTTGCCGTCTGTCCTAGACCCATACTGCCCTCAGCACGGCTTCCGCAAGTGCAAGTTGCCTCTTGCCACGTGCTTCCGCAGCACTTGGAGCCAGCTCCAAGCACTACGAATTGTTAGTATGTACACCAAGCCGGATCAATGGCGCTTGAGAACTTCTGATCCAGTCAGGAGCGGTCCGGCACTGTCCAGCCTTTGCCAGCAGCTACCAGTCACTGAGCGGGGAGATATTCCTCAACCAAAGGCTTCAAGAAGTCGACCGACGGGAAAAGCACCTTGCGCGAAAGACGGCATGCCAAGTAGCTCATGTGGAATATGACATGCCGTGAAAGTGACGCTAGCGGTTGGTCCCGGCTTGGCTCATTATCAAGCTCGGAGCTCAGATAAGGGCGGATGGCCCAGTTTGTCTAAGTCATCCAAGCAATCTTAACCCTGCAGCCAAGTTGCAGCGTTCACAGGCCCTGCTCGCATCAGCACAGCGGAGTAGCCTCAGCTTCTCTTGCATGGCGCAATCGGGACGATAGCAAGCCAGACGTGATGGGAAACATTTGGATAAGTCAGACCAGTTCCCGCCCAAACTTTGGCCCCAAGTGCTGCAATTGTTGAACAAGTATCCCTTTACAGTACATGGATGGCCGCTGGGAGTCTTGGGTCCCCTTGCGTCGTTTTGAAAGGGATTCCTGGGGCTGGTATGGCGCCCCCTAAGCAAATTCTACGTAAATCCGGGGTCAGTCTGATTGGGGGGACCACGACTAGGGGGTTGAATGGCCCAATGAATACTTATCCGGAACAGTGTTTACTGCTCATTATTATTACTCACCCCCGGACAACATTGGCAAGGCCCCGGCCGCGTGTGAAGGCAGCCATGCCTTCCTCGCGGAACAGCTGCCGTGCGCAGGAGATCTCGGCGAGTCGGAACACGCGATCCCGTTTTTACCATCCAAATCGTTCCTTGCCAAATTTCATAAACTGCAAACAAGTTACCATATCTGGCTTGCCAAGGCATATCGGGTTTTGTCTTTGACCTCCAACAAGTCGACCTGTGTTATAAAAGGTGAAAGCGTCCTCTTTTTTGAAAAGGTTAAAGGGTTAAAGGGCGAGCCAAAAGCCGACTGAGATGTGAGTAATACTATATTTATGCGTTCCTTTGAAGCTTCGAGGTGACCCCGTCTGTTGACCCACTGGCAGAAGGGACGATGCTGGTCCCAAGAAGAACTCGTGATTGGCGGTGGGCGTTTGGTTGGTTGAGTGGATGGCATGGTTAGCAGCTGATTGGCTAGTTGCTGGCTAACCGGTGATTGTTTTGATGACTGGTGTTGTTGATGATGTTTCAGTGCCTATGTTCGGGGATAAGCACACACAATGTTGCTGTTTGTTTCTTCCCCAATGATTTCAATTGTTTCGATAGGCCTTAGTAAATAAGCCACATTTGTCTGCATGGCATGCAAGACTGGAGCACAAATGCAATGTTTAGACTAAGGATGACTGGGATGTTTTACCTGAGCTTGCCACCACTCCAGGGTACTTTCGGCCTGCCAGGTGGAATCCACGGACCACCAGCCGGAACCCAAATCCCATGTGCTCTCCACTCCACTCCACACACATCCCTCGCCTGCACCATAGCTGGCCTCCCCCATGACTCGACTCTGCAGGACCTTGGCATTGCTTGGGCCCAAAGTGCCTCCAAAGTGATGGGCGGAAGTGCCAAAATTTCGTGCCGCGCTGTCTTTGCCATGTTTCTGCATTTCTGCATTTGGGAGCCGTGTGCCAAGCGGCATCAAGCGGAAACACTGATGTCCAGCAGAATACGCCAGCAACTGCTCCATAGACGCCTAAGGCAGGTAGTCTATTGAGTTCGCCAAATAATGCAACACTGCACAGCACGAAGAGACTCTGAAAGGGATCATCCACCACACAAACATTGTGTCAGAGGCCCCTTCTAAGAAGGACCAACGAGCGGAGCCTGTCGTGATCTTCAAAAGTGACATTTTGCCTGACCAGGTTATTCCAATAAAATAGCAGCATGAACAGGAACCAGAAAAGCCAAGCTTCCACTGAGATTTCAGGCCAAGGCACTGTTCCGCAGGTGCACTGTGCCTCAGCCCACTGCCACTGTGGGCACACGCAAAGAAAGACTTGCTCACAGCGCGTACACTGCGTCAAGAACACCGGTTGAGAGTTCGCATTCGCAACTCTCTGACATGGAACACTTCAAACAGTTCACTTTGACAAACAATGGCAGAGACGCCCGGACTGCTCAGCGGCCATATAGGCGTTGATTGCTTCAGAGCCTGACAGCATTTGCAAACCAAGTGCATACAAGCTGACTCTGATACATTTGTTTTGCGCTGTTTCGCTGGAGTGTGCACAAACCGGAGGCTACATCCCTCCCCGCCTCGTAACTTACAAAGAAAACGCCCAACGCCAGGGGAAAGCGTATGAAGCCCGCAGCGAAGGTGCGGAAGAAACCTGAAGGGTCACTAGCGATACTGAGACCGCTTTGACGGGGCAGAGGCTCTTGTTCCTCATCCGATTTTCAACAATCTTCCCGCAGCATCCTTGCGGCAAACAAACACGCGGTTGAAATGAGGTAAAGGTTGCGGTGTTCGAATAGGCGCTTCAATGTTCGCGTGGGGGTGGGGTACCTGCGCCTCAGAGCCAATCAGACCACGCCTGGGACGCCCTCTCCGTGCCAGAGGCGCGAGGCGGCGTCGAAGGTCGACAGGCGATTCACCTCAGCCAAGACGCCAACACAGGCTCTCTGAATTGCTTTCCTGGGGCTGAACAAAGCATGGCCAGTTGCTTTGGATGAGGCGAAAAATGACTGGCCGCCCAACTGTCGCGCCTGTTGGTGGGTTTTCACCACGAAGAGGGGGTGCAAGGCAGCAGCGATGCAGGCACCCGAAAATGCTCCAGCCGCAAAGACCTCCGAGAGTCGAAGTGGCCGAGTCCCAGCTCGGCGCTGCAGGTAAGCCTAGCAGACAGGAGCGTTTGCAGAGTTCGCATCACAAGCTTTTGTTCCATGCGTGAGTGTGCAGCTTCTTGAGTGCGCCTCCTGGCATGCCCTTCTCGCCAACAAATTAAGTTGATCATTTTGCCAATATCCCCTGCCCAATTTCATTCTCCAGCCTGGGCAGCGGAGAAGGAACCGAAGCGCACGGAGTTGAGGAGCATGTACTGACACGAGGCATTTGTCTTTGAGCGAGCTTCATCGCGCCAAAGTGTAAGCTCACACCCTCTCCTGCAGCAAGTGAGGGCCAATTCCATAGTAGGGCCTTGCAATCCCAGGCATCGAGATGTTGCTTTCGAAAAAGAGCTCTCACAAGAGAGACATGGCGAGATTCTGAACTTGGCCCATGTTTCAAGACCTTACAGGGGAGGCACAGAGTCCAGTTCCTGTTGGTGCCCAAACCAGGCTGTGACTGCGGATGTGGTGGACCCGAACGTCGGAACTGGTTGTTCATGGCTTTGCAGCGGCGTTGCATACGTTCCAACGAGCATTTCCGGTGGCAGCTAGGATTCCCCGCAATGCAACTGCCAGCTCTGGGGGCCAGGCCTCCGAAGCAGCGAGGTCAGCCTCCTCAAGGCACTTTGCTCCTTGGTTCTCACACGACACAAAATGAGACATCCTATCAATCCTATCCCCTTGCTTCTCGGCGCACCTCTCGCACCCCCGTGATCAATTAGATTCTGCCAGGAATCCGTGCCAATGTGCTGGGCTGTCTGCATCCGCACCTTTACAGACCTCAAAATGAGAGTGACAACACAGCCGAAAAAGCTCCTCACTAGGCAAGGATATTCCCCTCTCTTCCACTGCCAGGGCGCTCAATGGGATGGGACAGGAGAACTGCAGCGCACGACGCTGCAACACCTGGCTCCAGCGGCTCAGAGCTGAATCGCGAGGCTTGCCAGCCCCCCTCAGGCCTGAGATGGCTCCAACAGCATAGTCCCGGTTTGGGAAAAGCCCAAGATACATGGCGTGCAGCTTTGCATCTAATGACGCTTGTCTGCCTGTAGCTCAGGAGCTCTGTGCAACAAATTCAAATTTGGTATGTCAGTCCTGTGTCAGTCCTGTGTCAGTCCTGTGTCAGTCCTGTGTCAGTCCTGTGTCAGTCCTGTGGCTGTGTCATGTCATTCAAACGGATCTGCACCCTGCCAGCCCTTCAGAAATCCCGCCGTGGAGTTCTGCGCAACCTACTGCCCCATTTTGAGCCTCGACGCTGCAAGCGATATGGAACGTTAAGAATTGTATTTATGTGTGCGCCTACTGCCACTCCCCTGCCATTGAACATGGAACGGCTTCGGGCGTCCCGCACCTCCAAAGTCCTCAAACCAAATCGAACTCTCGCGGCCTGCGGCATGGGTTCCTGCTTCACGGGTCCATCCTGACAGATTTGCACGTTGCCAGGGCCAATAGCAAGAGCTTGTGAAAATGCAAAAGCTTGTTTCCTCATCCCAAAAGCACCAACTTCGCAAACCGATGCCTTCTGCTCCTGCTCCCGGCGGTGACGGATCCGAACCTCCGCCGACCGCACGAGCTGCCTGAGTGCTCCACTCTCTGGCACTCAGGCACCCAGTGCTATTCTCATCCAGGAAAATGGGCGGCGGGCTGCATGGCTTATAGTAGCAAAAGACAGATGGAAACCATCTGTGTTTGCTACTATAAGCCATCCATAAGAATCGTGAAAGGACCCGAGCTGATGGGCCCCAAGAGGTTCAACCCCGTTAAGACGCCGCCTGAGCCCCCGGCCCTGCAAACTGCCGCTCCAGGCGCGCCACCAGCTCTGCATTGGACATCTCGCCCTCGTCGAACTCCTGGCAAGCGCGGCAAAATTATGTGTCCTCCGCATCCCACAGGTAAGTGGGAAGAATGTCCTGTTGATCATACCCATCCGTGTGTTTACAGCAAGTCCATCCGTTGCAGTTCCGGGGAGGCGCCCGTGAAAGCGAAAACAACCGAGAAACTGCCCGGAACCCATGCAAACTGATGAGTCTCGACCTCCACAATATCGCACTTGCAGGACATGTCGGTGAGGCGATGTCGCTCCAGGTGTTCCGCATCACTGCCTTGCAAGCGCTAAATAATGTATCCATCCTACTTCATACTACACGGTAAACTCTGGCAATAGTTGCATCCCCGCACCCCGCAGGAGGAAGATCGTATGAATTGTAATTTTCCTGGTTTAGCCTGAAATACAAGCTGTCCAAGCCCCAGTCTGTGCCCAAGCTGCACGCCTCGCGCTCTTCGGCAATGTCAGCGGCATGCAGCAGCAGCGCCGCCTTTTCCACAGGGCCTACCTGCCGGCATGGATTACCAACCAGAGCACAACTGACACTCCCAATTTGATCCTGTCATTGACTCCTGGAATCCTCTTGACACTCCAACCGTACTCGAACTGTGCGAGGCGCAAACCAAACTTGACGGATAACTGAGCTCGCCTTCTCCGCCCCCAGCTGTGACTGGAGCTCGTCCCAGGGCACCTACGCAGGAGGCGCAAAGGCGCAAGTGCAAAGGTGCAAGGGCACGGTGACTCGGTGACCGGACGCGAAAATGATGCGTTGCAACCAGGCCGCATTCACCTTTTGTGAGCCCAGCATGCTATCCTCCATCTGCTCCTCGTCGCCCTCCTGACACTCCCAACTTGTCCAGATCTACTCCGATGCTCAAGGACCATAAAGGCTCGTCAGCACGATGCTTCAAGAAGTTTACGGCTGTACCCTTTTTGCAATGGAAGCGGACTGCTGGCCTTACAGTCCTCATTCCAAAACCCTCCTATCCCCTGGTACATTCGGAGTATGAGCGCAGAGGGACGCTTCGCAGGCCTCCGCCTCCCCAGCCACCGTGCGGAGGATGCTGCGGGCCTCCGCCCTGAGGCGATCCTCAGATGGCACCACGAGGTATGCACTCCAAACAAATGCCTTCGCCAAACCTTGCCCAAGGGCAATCAAAGCCCCCCCCCGTCACCTCCCTGCACCTGACTGCGAAGAAACATGTCACACCCACAGCACGTGGGGCTCCCAGCAGGAACTGTCCAGGCACGATTGAGACAAAGGCCCAGGCCACCTGACACGATGTTGCCAAGTGCCCGACAGCTGTTGCTGTTTTGCAGGGATTTACAGCCAATTTGTTCTTCCCGCAATCACTCATCACCCTTCCCCGGCCTTCAGAAACCCTGTCCTGATTGCTCCCACTCATGCCGCGCCTTCCGCCTCATACTGTGTGGCCAAGACGCGATCCTCTTCAGTGAGGGTCATCAGTGCCTGACACTGGGGTGGAAAAGATAAGAAACGCGTGACTAACTTATTTAGAGCGCCCGCTATCAAGTTATCGCGAGGACAACACACTGAAGGCGTGCGACTGCTTGGCTTTGACGACACTTCAGCATTTGTCCATGGGCTGTTCAAGAAAGCTGGCTTTGGCATATCTGGCCTCACTTTGGGAACTGGATGCCTCGCCATCACCTGACTCGACATGGCAGGCAATTGCAAGATTGAAGAAATGAAACTTGCAACATTTGCCACTTTTTGGACACGTCCTCGGGATACTCTTCGCCCACTCTCGTGAGCGATCCACTCTCCAAAAAGCGGCAGGATGCAGCTTTGAAGTCATTTCTGTGTCTCTGCGACACCGGTGAGCGACGCTATGCAAGGGCTTCTTGATCGACCCTCAAGACTCCTAGCCAGAATGCTTGGGGGAGGTGAGACTCTTGGCACACACTCTTCACAACGCTCACGGAGCAACACGCTTCAGTGCACCCCTAGCTACCATCTCAGCCATACTCTTAAAGCACGTTGGATACGAAATGTGCAGAGAACGGTCTCAGCAACAGTCTTGAGCCAAGCTCTTAAGCAATGCTTGTTGCGATGCTCTCCTCGGCATGATGGGTCAACCCGACAAAATGATACAATTCCAGATAATTCCTGCACATTTTAAGCAGACAAAAGCGTGCTAGAATCGGCAAAGTGCCCTGCCTATTGCTTTCATCCTCCATCTCAAGCCATCAAACTCCATGCCGTCAAACCTCGGTGTCGGCGTCTTTGCTTCAGTCGAGGACACAGCTTGAGCCGTCAATATTCAGCATGCTCCCAAATTAACGACACTGGAACTGGGCAAACTCAATCTTTCTAGTAGTTGGTGAAGGCTCTAGGGCATCCAGCTCTGGCCCTACCTCCGCGAACCGCCCGGGCTTGTGTCCTGGGTGCATCTCCTGCAACAAACAATGCAGCGTGGTACCCCGACAAGTGCTACGTCAACTCACGGTTTGTATCACCCCAGCCTCGCTATATTCATCCAGAAGCTGCATCGACCTGAGAACACGGGGTAATCCGTCAGCTGCACTGGCAGTCTGATACTTGACGGGGCCTGATGCAGCAGAAGTCAAGGATGAAGGAGCTAACAAAAAACTGAAAATGTCTGGAGTGGGCTGATTTGCCATTGACGGCAAGCCGGCCAAGGAGGGCTAGTACCATCAGTGGCTGAGTGCATGTGGTCAAAGTCTTTGCACATGAATCGAGGCCTCATCAGTCATCCAGTCTAAGCCATGTTGTGAGCAGAGAAATGCAAGGTTGCCACATGTACATGGGCACAAAAAGGGTTGTCCAAGTGTTGCACAAGGACACTGTTTGGCAAGCTCCGAAACACGCCAAAGACAAGCGAAGCCAGCGATTTCGCTCAATCCGGTCCCGATAGGTATCCTGGCTTTGCCACGCGCTCCGCACTCTCCTCCTCCGCTCCCTCATCTGCAGCCTGGGATGCGCAAATGTCTAGCCAATGGCTGAGCAAAGTGCTTGCTCAATGTCCAAGTCCTAACTTATCCGTTCATGTGAAGCTTGCAGTTCCTCAGGTGCAAAGCCATTCTCAGCTGCTTACCTTGGCCTTCGCATCGGCCAGCTCCGCGAGGTCGACAGGGTCCACCGGCTGGACAGGAACAGGCGGCATGGGAGGTCAACTTGCGAAACTGCAGGATCCAGACCCTCATTACCCAGCCCCAACATGCGTTGCAAAAGGTTCGGCTACTCCAATTCAGAGTCTTTGTACAGCGACATGTCCGCGCCTCCGCCTGAGCGCGCCGCATGGTGGCAAACCGCCTCCTTGCAGCAAGGGCCTGAGGAGCTGAGACCACACCTCCCCGGGCTGCAAGCTGCGACGAGCCGAGGGGATCCAATTTTGGGTGGCGACTGCACGCCATCCCCATGCAAAGTGTGCTGCTTCTCTTGAATATACCTGCAACCTGTACCAGCTCTTGGTCCGTGGCTGCCATACTTGCCAAGGCAGCATGATGTTCGGGCCCCTGCAAACAAGATCCCAGAAACAGGGCGTCCAGGTCTGCCCGTACATGCACTGCAAGAGGAATGTCTCAGGAAGTTCCCAAAGACATGCGCTGCATATTGGCACAGGCCTTGGTTCGCCAGGATCGGCGGGCCGCTCCTTTCCAGCGAGCCATGGGCCTGACCCGTGGCCAAGCGCCCGCATGTGCCGCTCGCTGAGACTCCCACCTGAGGGCACTCCGCATGATGGCCTCAGCGCTTTTGCCACAAACGGCACAGTTTTGGCACAGAGCACTCAGTGAACTTATCACGCGCAGCACGCCACCTGAAGCCTCCACCGGGTATCTCCAATTCCACTTAGTGCCCAGCGTTCTTGCACGCGGGGGTTGATGCTGACAGCATGGCGCAGCGCCAAAACTCAGACCGGGCGCTGGTCAGCACAGGCGTCGTGTCATGAATGCACTTGCTTCTACCCTTCTGCAGGCTGCGCTGCATTCCAATCGCGTTAATTGATCTGGCAACCTGGCATTATCTCCCAGAAATGACTGATACTTGGGATGTCTCACATAGATGCTGGCGTGTCTGGTCTTGGCGTCATCCTCGCATCATGCGAATCACTGTTTTTCAATTGCAAAGCCAATGCCTGCGGTGCAACAACATGAGGTCAGAATCCAGGCATTGGCAGCTGAATAAGTCTTGGGGTCTGGTATTTCGCAAGCAGGAGACCCCGGTGGGGGGGCAGGGGATTGCTAAATTGAAAGGCACCAGCTCCTCCTCTTCCTTTTCTGTTTCTCCGCCCCAGGGATGAATTGAGCAAAACCTGTTTATTGAAGGAGTTTAACAAGGGGGCTGTTTCACGGGCGAAGCCTGCTCCCCCCCATTAGCGGCCTTCTGCGCACACCTGCAAGCCCTGTGGCCGGCCAGTTCTCCAGTTCTTAGCCCAGATGGGTTTTGAGGAGCCTTTTGCTTGTCCTTTCTTCAAAGAGACGCTGGACCCCCTGGAAACTCTCCAAGCCCTCGTCGAAATCTCAAAAGAGTTGCAAAGGGATCCTCTGTGAGTTTCCAGGGGCTGAGAAAATCCAACGGGTGCAAGTTCCCTGTGCTAGGCCCTAGGCTGAGCCAGCGCCTTGGGCCTCCGTTGATTTGGGGCCCCTGGCTCGGGTCACCAGTTTTGGGGTCCGTCCAGCCGCCAAGAACCAAAACGACAGCGAAAGGCACCGAGAGGACGCCATCACCCGAGGTGTCAAAGCGCCCAAAGAGCTCCTCCAAACATCACGTTTCAAAAACTTGCCACATATTGTAGACACAGGTTGGTTTTAATTGAAGCGCCGTCGTCCAAAAAACTGTCCTCCCACCCAAAGGATAGGCGTCCTCTCCCCGACTTGGCGCCGGGTGTTTTTGAATTGGCCCAGAAGACCAAACAGATCCGCTGCACCGTGATCCCTCAAGAGTAAAGTTGCACCTACCTGTGTGTGCCCCTGGGCATGAGAGGCAAATCAAGAAAACTACCGCTGTTTGATTTGCGCCGACAGGAGGAAGAGGCAGCAAGGCAACTAGAGTCCCATGATTGGCTTTGAAATGAAGGCTGGACGCAAGAAATCAAATAGCAGCATTGACGCTGCGAATGATATTCAATTGCGATACCATGGTTGAATCGACCCACAAATCATGGCTTTGTCTCTCAAAAGGGCGATCCCAAACTAAGTCAACAGTTCACATCTTGATTTCGCATATTCCCAATGTATACATATATATATATATGTATTATATAGACAAGTCTGCACAGTATGTACAACTGAATACATTCCCGTCTGACCCGGCTTTGCATGTCGCATGCGCACGCCAAAAGTAGTGTATGTTGAAAATGTGCAATTCAACTGACATGGTCGCTTGCTACTGTTTCACGCTGATAGCTCAAAGCTTTTTGCATAACCAGTGGTCTCCTTCTGACTACAACATTGCACGTTGCACGTACGACTTCGACCGTAGTCCCAGATCTTCCTCTGGTATTGCACGAGAATCTTTGCAAGGCCAGTTGTGCTCGAGGAGCAAGATTACGTTTCTAGTTTGCTCCTGCTGATTTCCATTCAAAGCGCAGCATGATCGAAGAGACAAGCTCGTCAGTCAGCAACTAGCGGGTAAACAAGGTTGTGAGCCGTAGAAGCACAATACAACCACCTAACTTGCAACCCTTCCTACTTGCAAAGTGGCAACCCTCAATTCGGGCTCCACCTTTTGAGACATCGGTAAAAGACAGTTGTCCAACCTACGTAATAAGCAAGTGTTGTTGATGGCACCATTTTTAACTGCCAGAATCTCCAGAAAGCTAAGTACCCCAACCTATTTTACCAGGAGAAGCCACGTGCCCTATCATCGCCATACATGCTCACTCTTCATATGACGCAATCCCCTTTCCAAAAAACTCCTGATCGCTCCGCTTTTTGAGCATACGTTGACGATTAGCTGCATGCGCTGTATGGCTCTCCAAGTTCTCTGACGGCTCCATGACCTCTTCCTCGAAGGGAATCTTGGCGGTGGACGGGGACGGCTGTCGAGAATCTTGGCTGTCGTGGACGATCCAGGCCGCAAAGTTGGACTACGCGTCCTATGGGAATGGGCCGTGCACGTGAAAGCTAAAGCAACCCTCCGTCCTCGAGCCGTCCTCGATGAACGTCAAGGCTTTCCGGTCTTGGTTGCAATCGGAGTGCAAGATCAGGTCCGTGTTCGGTCTGGGATCTTCTTGGCCTTCGTAAGGATGTATGCAGCTGCCAGTCTCCTTAGAAAGCCACTGGCATTCAAGAGGGCAAGCATCAAGAAACAGTCATGCGTCAGCACAAGTGACGACAAAGCTGAAAGCGACAACCGCGGATTTCAATGCCTTTTGGGGTTCCTTTTGCTCATACGCCTTCTGCTCTCACGATGTGAATGAATTGCTGGACGAAGAACCAGCGACCCATCAACAAAGCGTTTAAAGCTTCTACAACCGTGACATGGTCCATCCTCGCACCAAGGATACTCAGGCAAGCTGTGACATACGCCAAGCTTATGAAGCAGAAGAGGCAGAACAAAGATTTGGACATCTTGCTCGGCTCTCGGATGGTACAATCAATGGCACTGAATCTGGTGATACATACCGTTTATGCCACGACTGGTACGAAAGAAACAATCCATGCCATACCCCTACACAAGAAACAATTAGACAAACGTTTTTACTCAGAACCCATGACTGGCTCGTCTGGGAAGTGTCACATGCGCCCTTGTCAATGTACATCCTGTCGACTTGCATACCCCCTCTACCATAAAATGGCCATGTACTGCTTCCTTGTGATGTTCACTGCCATCGCCCGAAATCAAGGGTAAAATTTGACTTTCCAACCAGCGAGAAAAGTGAATCCGGGTGATCGAGCAAGGCCTGACTCTCAAAACATCTCCAACCTTTGTCAAGAACAGCTAGGGCCCAGGCCAGGTCTTTTAGTTCCGAGAGGCGTGGCGAAGCAAGAAGCCGCCCGGCACAGCCTTGGACGGCAACTTCCGGAACTTCGCCGCGGCCATCTCCTCCGTGCCAAGCAACTGAAAGCAACTGAGCA